TAAGTAAGGTTAGATGGTTTATGGTGCTTTTATACAGATGATAATGTCTTGATATCTTCACTCATTTCAATTCATTTAAATGATTATAATCAATAAATACAAATTCACTAAGAGCTGAAGGGATCTGAGGCATTCAAGAAGGTGGTGAGTTAAAAAAAACCTTCAATGTCTCAAGGCCTCTGAATCATCATCAGATCAATGTAACAGTAAGCACTCACATGGTCAGTGTAGGCAGTCATGTGACGGATCATTTGCAAATAAATCAACATCTTAGATCATGAGATTACTGAGATACCTAATAGGTACTGATAAAAAGTGTTTTATAAAGGATCAGATTACAGAAAAGGAGAGAAATCAAGTTTCCCATGTAAACCAGGATATTGTGTTGTTCAGTGTATACAGCCAGAATGATTCCCTCCGTACTGTTTGATATCTTTACCGCACTACAATTACCATGGTTAGCTTTTTTAAGACATTCGCTCTAATCGTCAACGATTTCTTGAGTGAAAATAACACAGGGCAGTAAAATCCGACGTTTACTGACAATTAGCAAAACTTTCCGTCTCAGACATATTGTTCTTTCACCGTGAAAAGCAATAAGATGTAGCAAACCAAATGTTATTGTTATGAGATCATTGATTTGGCTTAAACAAGTGCTTCAATAAAGCCAGAAAATTACATTAACATCCTGTAACCATTGAACCAGAGTTGCTCAGCGCTCATCATGAAGACAACTTGATGTTATCTGAGACATAGTTAACATTAAAGCCTGGTATCTTCTGACACACAGAGCCGTCTGTTCCCCCTCAGGTTGTACAGTATGGATGGCTGGCTCAGCATTTCAGTCAGTGACTGCAGAAAATCATTTCCAGATGGTGCGCAGACTATTATCTGCGATGTTTAACTGCAGGATGTGTGTAATGACTTGATTTAAAGAAAATAAAACAGCCGCGTTGCTCAAAGACAGTGCTCGACTTTCTGAGCTTCTATTGTCAGCTCAGGATCTGGGGCCTGATACCAGACACTGGTGCACAAAAGCAAAATGTGATTTGAAACATATAGTACAGACGTGACGTGATGTCTCAACAGTGATTCAGGACTACACTATTCAGATATGAAGCAATACGAGTTGTGCTTTCTCAGTCAAAGCAAAATGAAAGAGCTATAAAGACATCACTAGAACATATCTGTTTATTTTTGGATCTCAATAATGTTAGTACATTTCTGTTCTGCAAAAAAAGACTTTTAATAGATAATAAAAAAAACTACTATTAAAGTTCACTGCATCCACTGAATCCTTCTGAACTGACTGGGTCGAACGTGCCACAGCAGAGAGGTCAGATCCGAGAATATTAAAGCAGGACTCTGGAATCAATACTGAAGTGTATTGATTCTCATGCAGGTTGTCTTTTTACCCACAATGCATGCCTGTGGTGAGGTCAGGATGTGATAGTGCTTGAATCAGAAAAGTTACAGACAACTCCATCATGTTGAGGTTTGAGATGGTGAACGTATAATTAAGAGAACACTGACATCTACTGGACGTGAGATAGAGTTGCTACTTTCTCGTCTCACCTGCTTCATCTGGTTAAACTGTTTCCTATTTA